GTAATGAATTGTAATTATAGTTTTTATAATTAATGCAGTAGTCATCTGAAATAATACTTTGTATCTAAAAAAATCTCACTTCATAAATTGGAAGCAAGAAGGGTCTGGCATAGGTCATCCACCAAGGTGACTAAAGTAGTATCAGTTCTATAGCTAATCCTGAAGCCTGATTGAAATGGATCTAAGTAATCCATCTCATTCAGGTACTCCTGGAGCTGAGAAGGCGCCACCTGCTCCAGAACCTTACACAAGAATTGAATATTAAAGACTTGTCCAATTGTGTTGGGTCTAGGGAGGTTTTTTTTTTTTAAGTACTGTAAAGCTGTTACAGCTGCCTTCTTGAGGCAAGGAAGAATTTTATCCTGCTCCAGAGAGGTGTTCACCCTCATCTTACTAGCCCTCTTTAACCACTTCTATAATCTGTGAAGAGCAAAGATCCAGAATACACATAATGGCTCTCTCCTCTCCAGGAATCCTGTGCACATGCTGAGGTGCCAGAAATCAAGACAAATCCATTGATGTTAGGTAGAGATGGAGGTATTCATATTCGTAAACAAATATGAATATCCCCGTCCCAGCTGCACCTAATGCGGGTCCAGCCCCTGAGACTGGCCCGTCCACTCACGCATCCTGCGAAGGTCCCGCTCTTCGCACCAACTGTGGTAGTCGCTCTGCCATCTCCCTGCTCAGCTGGCCACTCCAGGCAGGGGGTGGGAGGACTAGTCTCCCTGCACAGTTGCTGAGTGGCCAGTCGAGCAGGGAAACGGTAGAAATACTGCTGCGATTGGTGGAAAGAACAGGACCTTTGTGGTGCTGGGACACATGCATGGTGCTGGGAGACAGGTCTCAAAGTCAAAGCTGGGATAGGGATACTTGCATTCGTTTATCTCTAATGTTAGGCAAGCAGGAACCAAGGTTACATCCACATAATCACATAATCACTGAAAAGCAAAGCCTTAGGCTTGTGCACTCTCCATTTCCTTCTCATTCTCCCATACAGACAGGAGGAGAAAAAAGTTAAAGGTTTTATTTTGCCTGATTTCTGCTTATGGATCCAGCCAACCATTCAGTCCTAGTTTTCAAAAGATGAGTTTTCATTTTTTTTAGTGGTTGCAGATGAGCAATTATTTCCCTGTAAAAAAAAAATTGAAAACATATTCCCATCTGAAAGGTCCCAACTGGAGTAGGTAACAAATATAAAAATATAAAATGTGAAAACAAAGGTAGAGGATACCATTATTAGACTACTGCAGTCTTGTTCACAAAAGCAAATCTCTCATGTAAAAGTAAATCTCACAGACAGAAGTTAGCTTCTTGACGTCACACAAGTCTTCATCAGATTGAGCATTATAGAATTGGAGATGGTGCAGAAAAAACATAAAATCTGTGGCAAGTTGCTTAAGTCAGATTTTTTTGTATAAAGCAAGTTGAAGCAAGATAAAGTGGATGTTCACAAGCAATAAATAAGTTTTCCATTTGTATATTTTTGAAAAAACTTCAGATTACATAATGTAACTTTAAATTAAAATGTGCATCTACTGGACAGATTAGGACATAAATCATGGCATTTATGTTAAAAGTATGACAAAGATATTTAGAAGTGCACATTGAACAGTTTTTGACAGGTCTCAAAGTCAACCTAGAGAATTGTTCATCGCAATTCAGTATATAAGTTGTTACAGGATCAGGATTTAGTCAAGCAACATGTAACAAAGGAGCACAGCTGAGTTAATTGAGGCAGCTGTGTGACAACCAATTTGATTGGAGAATCCAAGAATAAAGCTAGCCAAGCTTGCAGGCACAAGCTGTTGGGTAGTTTGGGTAGTTGGGCTGTTGGATAGTTGAGTAGTGTTGGATTGTCGTGTTGCTGAGAACTGTATTTACTGCATCGTTGGATGAAGACTTGCCATATTGCAAGAAGAAGATCCTGGGAGAAGACTATCTCTGTGGTGAGAGGAGAAGACTTCGTGGATGCTGGACTATTTACATTGGTAACAATACTTGGTTACTGAAAACTGTAATTTACCATTGCTAACTGAAGAACTACTGTGAATGACCAGGACTGTATAAAAGACCAAGAGAAGCTGTATTTACCCTGTATATATGGACTTTATTGTAAATAATACTTTCAACACTACAACAGTGTCTGTTTGGTTTCATCTCTGAGCAGTTCACTTCACAATTATGCCCCCTGGCGTAGTCTGGTAACGCAGCACCTCTGTCAATTGGTTATGGGCCCAGACAGCGCACCAGACTGCATCCAGGTATAAATTTAAGAAGTTATTGAAGAAACTGCTGACCAGAGTTTGTTCTTCCAATATACCTTATTACTGTTAAGAAATTATGCATGTGAATTATGCATGCTGGTGTATGGATAGGTTTACAAGCTTTATTATTGAGAGAGCCTGGTGTGGTATCTCCTGGCCTGCAGAGAGTGATGCCATCTTCATACTACACTGTAAGGGTCACCTATCTCCTTTCCATATACAGTATTTCCCTCCTCCTATACTACTCAGCCCTTTCACAGATTCCTGCCTTGTCGTGGCGAAGGGTCTTGAGTAATTCAGAGAAGCTATGGGCTAGGCAGGGACCCCCAAGACGGACAGGTCATAGTGAAGAGTTCTGACTAAACGTGATCCACCTGGAACAGGAACTGGCAAGCCACTCTAGTATCTTTGCCAAGAAAACCCCATGAATAGAAACAAAAGGCTAAGGAGGGCCTGGCGTGCCCTGGTCCATGGGGTCACAAAGAGTCAGACTAATGACTAAACAACAACAACTATCCATTCTTGTGAGTAAGTTGCTTTCCCCCTCCAACTCAGAAGGAGAATATTTTTGACAGAAAATCTGTGTGGAATTGTAGAACTATCTATGGCTTGCTTCCCTGCTGCTTCTCTCTCAAGGAATGTCAGTCTACCATCCAGTTCCAGTACGTACCTGACATAAACTTGGCTTCGTGAGAAAACACTTGGCAAAATAGACTGTAAAGAAGTAAATGACTGACATAATTTTCTTGTTCCCCCTCCAATTTATGTGATAGAGTGGTTCCATTAAACACAACAGGGGCTGCTATGTTTTGTTTGGTCCTATAAGATGATAAGCACAGCTTTTTGAATTCACCCCCCTTCCACAAATCTCTCAAGTTTCTTAATTTTAACTTCCTGGTTGATTTGAATGATGTACAAGTATGATTAGAAAACAAATATCTAGTATCTCATAATGAGACAGCAGGCTAAACCATGCATGTGATGTAACAGCAGGACTTACTCTTCCTTCAAATGTTTTCAGCAGTTTCTGTTAATGACGGAGGGGTAACCATTGATAGCCAAGAAAACCTCTATGCCTGAAAAATACATGCTGTTTTTACTAGTATGCTATGAATTAATATTTGGTGATAGACTTCATCCAAAGCAATGGCTGTAAAAATAAGCTTCTACATGGACAGTGTTCCATAAATAGTCTTGCCTAAGAGACAAATAGAATGGTCACAGCTGAGACACGCGAGCCTGTCCACACTGGAATATAGCTATGGTACATGTTTCCCTGATAACATTATTCGGAATAGAAAAAAGATACCTCATCAGCTTGTGTTTCTGCTTAAAACAATCCATCCTTCCCCTCATAGAGCTGACTCACATCTTTCTGGTACAGGACTAGGGCATGCAGTCCTTTGGGGATGATTCATTGAGATGCAAAATAGCTCTTTGTTCTGCCTTAGCGGATGGGTTCCAAGAGTTAATATAGATTGCACTGAAAATAAATACAGTATCTTTTAAGCACCAACCAGATTGCACCAAATTTCACAGTGCGGACAGGCATCAACCCATTTCAAAGGCAGCTGCTGCATCAGTGGAAGAAAATGGTGATGGTGGTGGCAGGTACTGGACAGCAGTGGTAGCTGAAGGTGACACTGGCAGAGGAGGCAATGGCAACTATATCTGGAGGCAAAAATGATGAAACTGAAGCTGTCATACTTTGGGCATATCATCACCATCATCATAGACCTGCAGAGCTGAAAGGGAACCTATGGATCATTGAGTCCAGCCCATGAGAAGTCAAGATTCTCTGGAAAAGACAATAATGTTGGGAAAGGTTGAAGACATCAATCATGAGATAGATTGACTCTCTAAAGCAGTGGTTTCCAACCTTTTTCAAGTTGCGACCCCTTGCAACTTTTGCATAAAGAGGCATTTTTAAAGGGGTAAAGTCATCCCTTCTCAGAAAGTAGATTTTTCTTTCTACTCCGAAGAAGTTGTTTCTCATGTACACATACATGTACATGGTAACTTTAATATTCTGCTCTGAAAGGTGTCAAGGAACAAATTATTTAACAAGGGCTACAACAAATAAGGTGACCCATGACAACCCCCCCCCCCAGAAAACACTTTGCTATCCCGTTGGGATTTATGACCCCCAGGGAAACACTGCCCTAAAGGATGCCATAGGCTTGAGTTTACAAGAACTGAGCAGAACTGTTGAAGACAGGGCCATTTTTGAGACCATTCATTCATAACGTTGCCATAAGCTGGTGGCAAAATAATGGCATGTAACAACAGGAACAAACAGGACAGCTTGTGCAAGCAGAGTTAGCATCCACACAAATTACATCTGCCAACTATCCATTATTTCTTTCTGCCACAACAGCCCTGTTCCCACGTCGCAGACTCCTTCACTCTCCGAAAGGGTGGGATATGTGTAGAAAGCTGCAGAGGATAATTTTTTTTTTGAGACCATTCATTCATAACGTTGCCATAAGCTGGTGGCAAAATAATGGCATGTAACAACAGGAACAAACAGGACAGCTTGTGCAAGCAGAATTAGCATCCACACAAATTACATCTGCCAACTATCCATTATTTCTGTCTGCCACAACAGCCCTGTTCCCACGTCGCAGACTCCTTCACTCTCCGAAAGGGTGGGATATGTGTAGAAAGCTGCAGAGGATAATTTTTTTTATGAATGACCTTTGTTAGTGCTCCTTTGGACGCAATCCAGAAAGAATAATAATAATTTTATTTCCTGTGTGAAAGTATGTTAGAGAATATGCTACATTTCAGATTCAAATTCTAAACTGTGGTCCCATTCAAACCTCCTGCTGTTATTTTTTTTCTAAACAGGAGTGGGCCAGTAAGTTCAAGAAGCTGCTGTGTAGGAGGAAAATACCTAAGGCTGCTTATCTGATGTGCTGGAAAGGGTTCATTCTCATGCTGGGATAAATTCACAGGTGGTCAGGCAACTCAGCTGGGACAATATTTAATAATAGGAAAAGAAATTCAAGGCCCTATCCCCTCGATTGAACACTGTAGAAGTTAATAGCCTCCATTGTCACACATGAAGAAATTTGGAATCAGGTTCATTGCTCAATTTCTGTATATATTCCCAAAAATGCTACTCAAATTAAGGAGTAACAATCATACTTCA